TCAGTGCCGGCAGTGGAAGCGTGGCAGGCAGGAGAGAGACAGCCTGGGTCCTGCCACCCCCAGCCTACAGGTCACATCTCCCCACCTCCAAACTGGCTTCCAGGTTCCACCTTTTTTTTTTTTTTTTTTAAGATTTATGTATTTCTTTGGAAAACAGAATTACAGAAAGAGAAGGAGAGAGAGAGAGATCAATCTTCCATACACTGATTCACTCCCCTAATGACCACAATGACCAGCACTGGGCCAGGACAAACCCAGGTGCCAGGAGCTTCTTCCAGGTCTCCCACGTGGGTGCAGGGGCCCAAGGACTTGGTCCTTCCTTTGTTGCTTTCCCAGGCAGATTAGCAGGAAGCTGGATTAGAAGTGGAGCAGCCAAGACTTGAACTGGCACCCATATGGGATGCTGCTGCTGCAAGCCGTGGCTTTAACCTGCTGTGCCACAGTGCCAGCCCCAGTTCTACTCTTTTTGAATGGTTATCTACTATAACCTTGCCAAGGATGAGAATATTTTGATACCCATTTTGCAGATGGGTTAATTAAGGTACACAAGAATAATTCAAAAAGTTCATGAAAAACTTTTAAAAGTTAAATTAAAAACTAAATAATGGGCTGGTGTCATGGTATAGCAATGGGCATCGGTTCAAGTCCCGGCTGCTCCACTTCTGATCCAGCTCGCTGCTAATGTGCCTGGGAAAGCAATGGAAGATGGCCCAAGTGCTTGGGCCCCTGTACCCACATGGGAGACCTGGAAGCAGCTCCTGGCTGCTGGCTTTGACCTGGCCCAGCCCTGGCCATTGTGGCCATCCGGGGAGCGAACCAGTGGATGGAAGACCTCCCCCCCACTTTCTCTGCCCCTCCTTCTCTGTAACCCTGACTTTCCAATAAAATAAATAAATCTTAAAAAAAAAAAAAAAAAACCTGAGCACAGAGGGGACATCATCACTGAATCCCAGGGAAGAGGACACACCTGCGTCCTGGTTCGGCCGATCCAGCCTCCTCGGAGAGAAAGTTTCTGCGGGAGGGTGAGACACCCCTCAAAGCCTGCACCAGAGACCAGCAAGATGCATGGAAGCACCCAGAACCCGACACCCTCGCCCACCACCCACCTTTCCAGAGGGACCCAGACCCCCTGAAACACGAGCGCCCCACCTGGCACCTTACCCAGCTCCAGCTGCCTGGCCTCTCGGCCCCATCCCACCGGGATAAAGCATGGGGGTGGGGGTGCCAGTAGGCAGGTGACCCTCCGCGGAAAACTCACAGACACAGCGAGTGGAGGCTCAAAGGCCTACACCCCGAGTCCTCCACCAGCCTCAAAGCAAATCATCTTTTAATTCTGAAACACCAAATATTTAATTTATGCTCTACCTCAAATGTCAAGTCCACCTCCCGGCACATAGCTTTGAAACCACGTAAGAAGGCCTAACACTTTCCATATGGTGAAGACATGGGGCCTTTTAATTGTGCCAACTGGTATCATTCAAGGGCAGTTCCCCTGGAATCCGGAACTCGGGCAACCTCATCGCCTGGCCC